TACCCACAAATAAGTTTATCATCTGTATTAATCTGCTAGGGCTTCCACGTCAAAATATTATAGATTGGGTAGCTTAAACAGCAGACATTTATTTTCTCACAGTGCCAGAGGCTGGAAGTCCAAGATCAAGGTGCTGGCAAGTTTGGTTTCTCTTGAAGCCTTTCTTTTTGGCCTGCAGACAGCTGCCTTCTCACTGAGCCTCACATGGCCTTTCGCTGTGAACACTCATCTCTAGTGTCTTTCTCTGTATGTCCTCATCTCCTCTTACAAGGACACCAGTCAGACTGGATTAGGGTCCACTCATGTACCTCATTTAATCTTAATTACTTCTTTAAAGACCCTGTCTTTAGATACAGTCACGTGTTCAACTACTGAAGGTCAGGACTTCAACATCAATTTACCTCAAAGTTCATAAACCAATCCACTTCAAAAGAATCTATAGTATTACCAATAATATGAAGAAAGAAATTTATTTGCCTACGCCAGAGATTTGCTGACGTCAATGAGCAAGAATGAACTAGTGTGTGGATAGGACAGGCTAGGTGAGGAATTACTCACACTTGCTGTGTAGTGTGCAGTGTGGTGCAATACGGTGTACTGCACTCTCAGTGGCTGAAAGCCTAGGCTCTGGAGCCAGAATGTATGGGCGTGAATCTCAGCTCCACCATTTATTAACTGTGACCTTAGGCAAAATACCAAGCAAATCTCTTTCTACCTCAGTTCCCTCACTTTGAAAATGGGAATAAAAATAGTACCTTTTTTATATGGATTGTGCAAGATTAAATGAGTTCGTATATGTAAAATACTTATAACAGCATCTGGGATTTCGTATGGGCTATAAATCTTTACTAATTTTGTTGTTGTTAAGAGTAAGTCATTAGATACCTGGAAAAATGCCTACAGATCAAAGAGTGAATGAAATAGAACATGATAAGTGGGGATGGTGGCTATAAGACCAAGGTGGTATACATAAGGCAATGTTTGCTTTTATCAGGAACATGGTGATATTTCAGGAGTCAAAGAGTGAACTCTTGAAACTGGAACAGTCTGACATGTGGTAGGACATTTTAAGTAGGTCATTTTGACATGACATTTTGACAGCAATGACATTTTGTTGAGATCATTTTATCTTGACCACATAACGCAGCTGCTTTAAAATGTAAAAGCCTGTTTTATTGCCAAATAAAGTGTGCAAAGCAGACATCCCTGACTGCTCCCACCTTTGAGCAGTATTGCTCCTTGATCCCCCCTCCTCTCCTGGCCTATCCCTCGCACGTGCATTTCAACGTTGTGCCTGTTTTGATTCTTCCTAATTCAACTGATAATAAGTGATTTTTCGATTGTAATAAAAAGTAGGAGGAAGTGTTAAAGATTCTTGGCACACTTTCCACTACATTTTCTCATGGGATACTTTGGAGCACAAGCATTGCTAGATGCGGTTGTCCCTAATTACCTGGAACCCTTCAAGACAAGGTATTTCAAGGAAACCGCAGTCAGGTGAGCTGCAGTTCAGTTCAAATGCAATAAAGCTCTGAACCAAAGATTAATTCTGGACCAGCCATAAATCAAAACCAAAGACAACTCTGATACCTTTCATAGCAAATTGCCAATTACAAGTTGGCACTAGCAAAATCATTAAATCACCATTCTGCCTCCAAAGAAAATATAATAAAACACAATTTCAGAAAATGATGCTCATTAGAAATTGGACAAAAGATGGATGGGCTGAATTTATTTAAGAACTGAACTGCAGGAAAGCTGTCATATCATTTCTATGGATTTTTACAATAAAACACAGAGACTACCATGTGAATCGTATACCCATGAGATGGCGTTTTTGGAGTTGTGCCCTGCAGTAGCCCCAATGCCAGATTCCTGCACTTCAGCTATCGCTGGAGACTCTGGGGTACCTGCAGACACTCCCCTTCCACAATCAAGTTCTCTGTCTTTTCTCAGGGTGGGTTTTGAGGTGGACAAGTCTGAGAAGCAATGTATACAGAAAAACAGCATGTCTTAGCCCTTCATGTGCCAAGAGTTTTCCTGTGTGTTTAACGGAATGGAGAATTTTTTTTTTTTTAAATTAGGAAAGGAATGCTATGCCAATGTTACTTAATTGCCCATTCTATTAATATAATGAAAATCAGATGATTTCAGGGCAAATTTTACTGCAAAGATCAGCCGTAACGTCTTTAAAATCGAAACGCACTTCAGTACGTTGGTTTCTGCTTCTGGGCTGGAGCAAGCAAACGCAGAAACAGGAAACTTCCCCTTGTGCTGAAACGATGCCGCCTCCCTCAGCGTATGGTGTGGGGGTCGGGAAGTCCTGTGGGTCACAACCTGCAGGGCCACATCCCAGACCTCGTGGTTGAGGCATCGTTCTTTCACTACAAAATCAGGCCACGCCTTCTTTTGATCCTTGAATTGCTATCGTCTACTCTAAGCCTCTCCCGACCTAACGCAACAGGCCCACTCAGACGGGTCCCAGCTTCTGGGAGGTGGTCCAGGGCCCGCCCCAGGACCCTGGACCATTGTCTCATCTGTCTCTGCTCCTACCTCATTGTCCTGCCGCCCACTCCGCAGCTGCCTCTGTCGCATATGACCCTCGTGCCAGCTTTGCTTGCAGAGGAATTGTACTGATTCCTCCGCTGCTGCTTCCAAAGCACAGGGCTGGCTCTTTACATCGCAGCTACAACCAGGTGTAACTTTCAACAAGACTTCCCGCTGAAAGCTTGAGAGAGAAAGAGAGATGGGAGGATGGGCGGGAGAGAGAGAAGAAGGGGGAGATGCATCTCAAACTCCCCCCACCCCACAAAAAAAGCATACAAGGAGCATTAAAAAAATTATCCACATACCAGCCCATAAAAATATTCCTAACAACAAAGAATCCGATATTACATGGACCCCATTCTCTAACCACATTAAAACACATTTAGAAATAGAGAATAAAAAGAAATTTTTAGAAAACCCATACACTTCTATACTTAAAAAAAACCCAGAAATCACTAGAAAAATTACAAAATAGATGGCACTAAATGAATAACAACAAAATGGTGTATATCAAACCATAGAAGACATAGCCAAAGAAATTCTTATAATTAGCCTGAGAAAAACTGGACAATCTGAATGTATCAGGTAGTCGACAAACTCCTGCCTCGCTAGAAAACGGCACCAAGTAGTTAGGAATTTTTATGGATGCGTTTTACCAAACCTTCTGGAACTAATATGACCTCTTGCTTTAGGGAAGCCATAATTTATGTAATTCATCTGGTTTCATGGAGAACTATTGAAAATTTTTAATCATTTTGGGTTAAATGAAATCAATTCAGATAATGTGCATCTTAGTCTGCTTATCATGTTTATTTCCTTCTTTTTTCTTGAAACATTTTTCCTTAAGCCTTAAACCAGTTTTTTTTTTCTTTTTTATTGGTTTGTTTGTTTTTAATTATTGCTTCTCAAGTTTGAATGAGGTTGCCTGTCCTGGATCAGCTATTTCCAGGAGAGTAGAGTTGGAGAGGAATCAGAGGATGCTCCGGAGTAGCAGGCTGCTTAGACTTTGTTGGTCTGTTATCTCTGAATATTTTATCATCCACATTCTACACCAGGGATTTAATTCTACTCTGGGCCGGGAGTCATCCTAGCTCAGTTTCCAGTCCTAGGTGGGTCCAGTCTCGACCAGCTGCACAGGACCTGCCATTTCTTCACTTGTAAGCTGCATAGTTGCCTGCTTCGTGCTAAGATGCCAGGTCTTTATCTTTCTTTTTGCAGCCCCACCTCTCTTGCCCCTCCTAGATTTCAAACAGGGATCAGGGAAGTTCTCACAGCCTGCCCATGGCCCCATTTTTGCTGCATGAATATTAATTTATTGAAGTTAACATTATTATGAACACATAATGGAAAAATGCTCCTCAGAGAGGAAGGTGAATGTTACCAGCAATAGGACAAAGCTATCTTCAAAAGACAGAGATAATGGGAAGTAGTTTCACAGTTCCATTTATACGTATACTGAGGTTGAGTCCAGCTATGTCTCTGTCTCTGCAGGTTCCAGGTTTTGGATGAGGAGACTCAGGAATGTCTCTAGCCGCTTCCTGGATCTGTATGCAATCAGTCCTCTCTTGGTGGCCCACCGATCCACCCCAGTAGGGCCCTTGTTTTCCACGTGGTACACCAACTGTGGCAAATCAAGCTCCATTTCAGGATTTCTTTCTAAGCATTCTTTCAAGTCTACTATTCCCCCACCCATGGCCCGCAGTGTGGCATGAGCAGCACAAGAGTCCCGCTTGAATGTGGTATCTTCTGAAAAGATGTAAATGTCAACAAGGCCTTGGACAACACAGAGACTCTTGTAACCAGCCCCGGCTGCCCCAAATATGCTATCTCCACACACACACACACATGTGACAATGCGGCTTTGATAGTCTCCTTTTCGCTTGTAGTAATGACTGCTGAAAAATGGGGGGAGAATTCTGCTTCAGAGCCGGTGTTTCCAGGCTGAGTCTCGCTGCCGCTTCTTTCAGAGGTGGCGTGCTGCGGTGAATCGATGTTGGTCCCCATGTAAGAAAGGCCCCAGTAGCACTCAGAGCCTTTGCCCCAAATCTGCAGAGGCAGGTGGCAGGCTCCCTCTCTCAGATTCAGTTTTTAGTGCACTTAGCTGCTTATCTTCATTTGTGAGGTTTGGGTTTGTGGATGTTTCATGTTCTCAGTGGAGGAGAAATGTATTTGTCTTCTATTCTCCTAGTTATTTTTGGTTGGATTCAAAATGGAGAGGCGAGAAGAGATGTTTTTATACCGCTGTCTAAAACTGGGAGACCCTTCATTGTTTTAGTAATTGAGGACTGTAAGGCAGAAGGATTTTCTAGTCCACATATCCACACCTAAGAAATTTGTCACAGGGAGTTGGAGTCAGAAATTTCAACTTTGGAGTAACAAAATAGCAGAATAATATGAATTAAGGATGAGTATACATTACTACTTTTAAAAAGTGTTTTTAAAGCTAGATCAAAATATTCTCATGGCTGGGTCAAAACAGCCTCAGCACAATGTCCTTGACATTAAAGCAGCCGTATCAGAACACGGAAGCGTCGAAATGTCATGTGCCTGCTGATGAAATACTGAGTAGAGAGTGTGGAGGGAATGAACTTTATTCTTTAGTGGGGATGAACATTTTGTGCCAAAGAAGTTGGCTAATAATCTCAAAGCAGGTGTCAAAAAGGTTACTTGTCACACATGTAAACTTATTCAAACACCCATTGGGCTTTCGCAAGGGTGTGAAAAGAATGGCAACCATGACCCAGGCCACTGGTGAGAACTCTTATGTTTACCCTGAATTGTCATAAAGGATACTGAGAATCACATGTGTCTTTCCTACAGCACTTCTGACAATAGGTGTGTTAGGTCATCTTGCAGGGTTAATAAGAGGCAGAAATAATTAAGGTTAACGTGGGAGTGATGATTAGCTATAAACTTGGAAAGCAGGATCTGCATTGGGAGGGTGGGCTAGTTTTATATTCAAAATGTGTAAAGAGCCCCATGAATCAAAATACCTCCCTTACGAGACTTCTTCCTATGCCTGGAATCCCCAAACTGGTAATTTTTTAAATTACCAGCATCTGAAGTGTTCTTTGAATTGAATAAAAGACAGGATTTATAGTGAAAATAAGAGGAGCCTGGCCTTTGGAGTCAGACAACTCTGAGTTCAAACGCTGACTGTGTTCCTTACTCATCCCTCAGCCTTGGCAAGATATTCGACTTCCTTGACCCCCAATTTTCCCACTTGTATAGGATGGTAATAATAACAGCTACCTTGTAGGGTTGTCAACAGGAACAATTAAAATAACATAATTAAAGCATCTAGCGAAAAGGAGGAGCCCAGGAAATGGTTACTTTAGAACTCAAAATGTCTAGGAGAGCACACTAAGCTATAAAACAGATGTCACCAGCCTAGTTTACTAGCTCCTCGGAGAAGGTGTCAGAGAAACTGGGATAAAACACAAGTTTTGAAGAAGGGAGAGAAGAAAACTAGTATGGGACACTTTCAACTAATAGGAGCTTCTGAACCTCCAGGGTGGTTATGGCACTTGACACCCAGGGCAAAAGGGAATGTGGTTTAAGGATTAAGGATGAAGCATCAGCCCAGGAATGAGTCTGAAGCAAATCAGAGTCTAAAGGAAAGGGAATAGGGAGGGGATTTAAACAGCATAGGTTATGAGAACTCAATCACCTGTTACAGGCAACATGGAAACCAATGCATTAGGCTTGGATGACTGACCATGGGACAAACTGGTGATTGAGAAGTGCTGCCTCTGGAGTTTGGCATCCCTAGAGGTCAATAGCATCTAGAAAGTGTAGCAATTCTAGATCTTATTCTCTCTCTTCTAAGTTGTACCAGAGAATAGGCAGAATATAGAGGGAAGCCATTTTGAATAAGGATCAGCTTATATGAACGGCTCACAAGTCAATAGGATGTTTTCAGGAAAGAAGTGTTTACCTCCTTTCAGATAAACTACCACTCCCAAGGCATTGAACAGTGCACTGGCAAACTGGGGGCAGCATCCTACCTTCCCTGCAAATACCCAGATGATCATATTTCCTGATACTGCTTGAAAACAGATGTTTATTTACAAAACATACCGATGTATACATAACATAGGTTACAATTCTGCTCATAAAATACAAGTTTTAGAAATGTGATTCTATACATTATTAATTCTTTTACAATGCACACTTTTCTCCTGTGATTCAGGATACCCATCATGTCCTAGGCTTGACAATAATTTTAATTGAATCATATTTCTTTTATGGTTGTCTATTTCTTCATCTTTAAGATAAGGTATTTAACGTTACAATTCCCTACCTTTAACTCTTGCACCCTACAAGGCTGAATTTCATAGATGTTTATGCACATTCATTGTGGTTTGCCATTAAAATGTATAAACATAATCACATAGTAAAGAGCATAGCCTCGATGTTGCCGTAGCAGTACCAAGATCACCTCTGTAGCCAGGTCCGCAAACACAATTATGTTAGCAAAACACTTTGGACATGATTAGGCTTTGCTTCGGATACATTGAGTTGATATCTGAAGGGTCTTTAATCAAAAGTATTTTTAAAAAGAGTTATTATTTCTGTCAGAAGCACAAAGTCTCCTCTAATTATTCCTCAGGAAAGTTGGGAAATGATTCAAAATATAAAATTTTCACCACGTTGTGGCAGAGATAAATAGACTGCTTAAGTCTTTTTGCCATTGCCTAGAAGAATTTAAAAACAGAAAAAAGTAAAGGAACCAAACAAATGAAATTATGAACTTTGAAATGAGGTTTTCAGAAAATCACCGTTTTTCA